AGCATTGCAAATCTTTCCGATATCCAATCATTGTACGCCTTCATAACAGCAGTTCAGTCTGGCTTGCATCGTAGATAGAATTGATAGAATATTGCTCCCGTGGAACTTTCTTGGCGCTTTTCCGCGACTGGCTGTTGCGCTGTTGCGCCGGGTGAGACATAGCGTGTCACTCTGTGGCACTGCTGGCGCTCTGCGCTATCGACCTTCGAAAAGCCGTGCACAAGCATGCAAAGCCACGAGAGCCGTGTACAAGCCGCAAAACCTGCCTCCAGTGACACTGGCGCATGCCGTGGGTTATCTGGCCTCACAGCTCGCTTCTGCAATTGAGCGGGAGCTGTTCGACCTGATATAACATGGGAAGCTGATGCGACCAAACATCAGGAAGCGGTTGAAGTGGGTGTTTGCTTTCTCGTACAAAGCAAACAAATTTATCGGTAGCAATCTGGACTCTCTATATTTGGGTCAAATCGAACTTCGCCCTGACACGCGTGTTGCTAGAAAACTGACCCCTGCTCGCCTGCGGCCGCACCGTGGCATACCACCTCACGGCCAGAAAGCCCCGCCACTTCGCATATTGCCCACCCCATGTTGCTGGACTTGTCACGACACTTCTCTTTGTCTTAGAATATGTTGCAAAATGGCTACACATCAAGTGCAAACAGTAAGCCTGGGGTTCACTGCCAACTGTGACAGTTGCTCATCTCAGCCCGGAACTCGTCGAGAGGCCTCTCTGAGGCCTGCCAACTCTTCAATGCACCTCGGAGTAGCTCACAACGCCATTGAGCTACGACTGTGTGTGACACAATGAAGAAGAGCCAAAAGCCCTTCAAAGCGAAGAACATGGAGACAGATCGTCGTAGATTGCTGCAGGGCAAACCGCGCTTTGGATAGCGCAGCCAATGCACAATTTGCTTTGGCAGAAACCTTACTTCTTGCAATGTAGTGACGATTCTAGGATCATCATCAACGCCAACGATCGATTCGATGATTGATGGATTGCGTGCCGTGAGAGAAAACCCACGTACATCCTGGTTGCTTGCATGTCAAGACACGAGGAGGAAACCCAGAGAGGAGCCAAAACTCAAAGCAGGCGACCGAACGTGCAGTGACCAAAGCGCAAAGCATTTCGAAGCATTGCGCTGGAGGCCCCGGCTCCATGTCTGACAGGCGGCACGCTGCTGCTCTTCAGACCGCATGGATTTGAAGGCCTGGAGCCGGTCGGCTATGCCTTCGGTGTAACTTCCATGAATCAATCTGGGCAAAAAGCAGCCAGGCACCTGCCAGAGGGGGCCGACACATAAATCCCTGACAACAAGATTGGGAGACTGCAGCGCTGTTTGAGGTAACTACCCTGCATTGCCAGCACCCGCCTCCCGTACAGCCCAGCTTTTGCGGCTGTAAGGATCAATGTCCTCGGCAACAAGAGTGAAAAGGATGCATTATCATCTCTGCACGCAACTCATGTTCGAGCCCTCGCTGCCCAGCCGTTCAGCCAGCGATCTCCCGCAAGAAACTTGGAGCAAGCTGGCGGGGAGGCGGGCAAGCGAGCGAGCGAGCAGACAAGCAAGCAAGCAGGTCCGCAGGTAAGCAGGCAAGCGAGCGAGCAAGCAAGCAGGTCCGCAGGTAACCAGGCAAGCAGGCAAGCAGGCAGGTAAGCAGGTGGGCAATGCTCCAGGAAGGAATGGAAGCAGCCAAGCATGCATACTTGGAGTCTCCCAGGATCTGTGTTTCCTTGTCCGTCGGCAAGCCGTTTAGCCGTAAACGGGCTATTTCAGTTCTGCCATTCAGCCATTTAGGCCTCAAGCTGCCGCCACTCCCTTTCGGTCGCTCCGCTCCCCTTCACGATTTCAGCTTCTCAAACCGAAATCAACACTAAATCCAGTCTGAACAAACCCTTAAAAAACCCTCAAACACACAAAAAAACCCTGGACCAACCCAATAGCTGAATGTGAAAGTCAACCTCAAAATGCATGAATGATTTCATGAACGCTTGAATCGCTGAACTGAATTGCGGATCCCGATTCAGGACTGCAAAGCCTACACCCGCGCCTTGCAGTACCTTCGGATGTCGCTGACTGATGCCACTCCTTGCTTTCCCGGCACCAAAAGACGGCTTTTGACAAATGTTGCTGACCGAAAACTGACTCGTCCAAGGCAAGCACCACGAAGGCGAATTCGTCCATCCGCCCCCACCACCTGTTTGGGACAGAAAAGGCAACGCTGCTTTTTGGTCACTATCCTCTTCGCTATGTGGTACGGACTGTCTGCAAAACTCGACTTAAAGCACTTGCTTGCGTCTGACTTGGTTCATTCTGCATTGTGTCATGTCATTATTTATTGGCTCTGTTCCATGGCTGCTCACTTTACACTTTCTCTAGCTCGCTTCCCTCCCCAAGTGCCTTCGCCACCTCATCCTTCCGCCGTCGCAAGATGGGGCTAATGTCTGTACCGCCTTGACCGCACTCGAGATGAGATGGCGTTGGAAGTGGGAACAAGCAAAAGCCATTTAAAATGGGCAGCACAAGCCACTGTTCACTGATAGGGGCGCACGACTTACTTGGCATCACATTGACATTGCGCCAGACCCGGTGGCAGCAGGGAAGATCTACCACCAGTATTTTCGAGGACTCCGATTTCAGCAACTGACATGTTGTGGACACAGATCTCATGCACAAGATTGCACTAGTATGGTTTGACAATCGCAAGTGATCTGAAGGCATAGTGGGCTTGAAAGGCTCCACTTTGCACCCCCTTTATGTCGCTCGATTGTCGAGAGCTGAGAGCCTTCCTCGTGCTATCAGGCCCGCGCAAAAAGCTCCAGTCGAGTCTAGATGGCAGTGCTCATGAACCATTCATGCAATCAATTGTAATGAGGTTCAACTGTCGAACCGGCAAGACTCCGAGCGCCCACACGCGCTCGCCGCAGTTGGGTGCCGCTGAAGCGTGGATCGGTCCTGCCACCCCAACGCAGAAATCTGGATGCTCAATCCACGGGCAGCCCTAGCAATACTGAATTCATTCATGGCATTTTTCTGCTCCAACGCCTATGCATCACTCACCAGTCAATCGGACCATGCGAGCCCTGGTAACGCATCCACTGTATGGCTGTCCGCGGGCAAGTGCATGTCATGCGATCTTGTCAGTTGCGTCTCTTCTTCACCAAGAGTGGCAGACCCGCCTTTCACATCTGTCAGGCTCTCGTCGCACCTGGACTTGGTGGTTCTGATGAACAACCAACCTGATTGCAGCCTGCAAACTGATATAACAACTTGCTTGTTTCCCCAAGGGGACATGGGACAATTAGTGAGTCCAGGGTTGTTTCTTGGGAAATTTGGTGAGTCCCCATCCATGTTCCTCCCAAATGGACCACAGACTGGTAATTTTGACCGAACGTCGTTGCTCAAACACTCCAGCCCCATCCCCCCTATGTGCAGTCCTTGCCTGCACGCCACGCCTGATCATGTGGAAATTGAAAAAGAGGCACGTATCCAATCACTTGCCAACTGATGAGCAATCAGGAACACTGCAAGTCCAATTCAAGAAATGCTCACGCATATATGCTAAGGCACAAACGCTGAGGCATATTTGGATTTTGCATCTCGGAAAGCATCCAGCCAATGGAATGAGTCTGCTGCTGAAGGGTTCCATCAACTCAACCATGGTCATTGACTGGTAGGGGTTCAATTAACAATCTAACTGTTCAGCTTCAACATGACTCAGCCGCAGGTGATGCACTTAAACAACAAGCTGCCATCTTATTTGCAGGAACTTATTCATGGACAAGATTTTCAAAGTTGAAACAATCCAAACCACACAAGGCAATACTGTCACTCCCACTCCTCGCCCACGGACTTTTCCCATGCAATCTCCGTGGCAGTCTTTGGATGCCATGAGCCTACGAATTGAAAGCTCGTAGCTTGAGCGTATTGAAGGCCTTGGCAAGCGTTGGATCTTTCAATGACACTCGAGCCATACTCGGCCGCAACTTGCATTGGCAGAGTTCGCCGGAAGACCACGAGCATGCAAAGGGGGTCTGAAGCACCCCATTGACCAGTCTGCCAGGGTGAGGGCCCTGTCTGCGGTCGCGTACAGGTGAAGTGCCAACGTTGATACCAACCACTTTAGTTTCTGTGGAGCCAGCTCAAAGACCAAGCTTGCCTTCAAGCTTAAGAGCCGAAGTACAAGCCACCGCATCCGCTGGTCAGACAACTGTTTTGACTGCAAAAGAAAGTATGGTGCAAGTCTCTACAAAAGCTCTGAGAAATCAGAACAAACAGCTCGACTGCTTTGAGCACACCACAAGCCGAGATTTCACGCATCGGCACGCTCGGCGGCCGTCTGTTATGGAATCCAAATGGATTGGGCAAGTTTGGGGATCAGCTCTTGTGATATATGGGAAATTCAGAATAGTCTCAGTCCGGGGTGGCATAAATGAGGTGCCCCTGGCCAAAATCACGTATGCCAAAAACAAAGTGTGCTTTTAAGCAGCTCACAGCCGACCAACCGCCTGTTCGTGCAGCCTGGCCGGAGAGGGTACCACACGTTCATGTTTTTAGTCATGCTGGAATGATCTTATGTATCTGCACATGTGTTTACTGTAACGCTGCAATGAAATGCAAGGAGATGGCAACTCCGCAAACAGTTGACCACTGACAACACCGAATGAAGCAATTGACCTCCTGCCCTCACTGATCGGCAAATGTAATACCGTGCATGCTGGGCATGGACACTGCAGCCTCGCAAGCGGATCGCTGCCTCAAGCTCCGCCTCCGGCTTGCGGCTGAAGAGCCGCCAGCACCTTGAAATCTTCACGGTGACCCTCCGAACTGCGAACCTCCGAAATGCTCTCCTCCTGCGTGCTTTTTTGAGGCTACCCGTGCACCTTGGTTTGAAGGGAAACCAAAGGCAAAACCTTGTTTTTCAGGGGTCCCCTCTGTTGACGCGCCAAAAAGGCCCCCGCAGTTTCATTGCCTTTGGCAAGCTGCGCAGGTGTGCGGCCGCTAGAATCCTGGTGCAAGCGCAAAACCAACAACTCACACACACACACAGCTCTGAGCAAGGGGTCACTGAGTTGAGGATGCCAGGATTTGTTGCCAATGTTAGCTGTTTCTCATCCCAAAAAAAATAGGTTGAACACACACTGATTAGTAGTAGCACTGGAAGAAGTTGTTTTTCATCCTGCCAAGTGCTGCCCAGCCCTTCTGTCCTTTTGATCCTTGACAGCTCCCTCCAGCAAAAGGAATCCGACCATCCTGAAAGGCAGCTAGGGGCTACGCTCCGGTGACATGGCCTGCTGCCAATGAAGCCCACCCCCAAATTCCTGATGTAGCACTCCCAAAACCGCGCAAACTGCCACCCTGCCAAGCTCATTGCAGGTGACCCATGGCAATACGACATGACCAATGGCACTGCTCACCATACATCTGCTCAGTGCACAGTGCAGCGCCTGGCATCACCCAGCTTGACTGCCTTGTGCAGTGGATAGGTCGTTGACAGCAGAGACCTCGAAACATCCCTCTCCCAAACCTCCACATAATCCATCATGCTCAACCTGCACAACCCGGCTCACCCAGCTCATGCCGCTTGCCCCCTGGCGCCTTGGCCTTTCGGCCTTGTGGCACCTTGGCCCCTTTGCTCCCGCTCCGAAGGGGACTCTCAGGCAGGCCACCTCTTACCCCTGCTGACAGCGCTAAAGCCGTGCTTCTTCAGGAAGGCTGCCACAGCATCCCGCCGCGTCTGCGCCTCGCACCAGCGAAAGAAGACAGGGCTCGCAACCGACAGGCACCAACAGTACACATGTGGCAACGCCATCATGCCATGGCCATGCCTTCAGATAGCAGCCCTTCATTTGTTTGGGTCTTGTTTTCGGCTAAAAACAGTGGCCGGGCCACGGCAATGCACGCCTGCCTCTGCTGGATCGACGCTTGCCACCACCTGCTTCGCCGTCGGTGCATCAGCCTTCCAGGCTAGTGGATACCGCGTGACTCGCACTTGCTCCCAATAAAAGTCCGATGCGGCAGCTTGGAGCAACCCGAAAATCGGACCAATGAAGATGTTGGCTCAATCGCTGATCTCCACATAGACGTTGTCATCGCTGCCACTGGGTGGCTTATAATCTATATATATATACATATATCCAAGTCCTACAATCCCACCTAGCGCGGAAAAGACCAGCCTCAACTTTGACAGTCTCTGAGTTGGCTTTGACCGCCGTGATGGCGTGCACAATCTCTTCTGCCAGCTCCGGCTGGGCCCGTGAAACGGATGCACAGGTCTTGGACGCCTTGCCAGGGAGCAGCAGTCTCTTGGCAAACGATATCATTGTAACAAAAAAACATACCCTTCAAGCGCCGCATCTGCATCTGGTAGCATGATCACCGAGCAGACTTTGCCCTTCAATGAGCCTACAAACCCGAACCTATTCTACCCCCCTGGCACGTGACCTGATTCAACCAAAGACTGTTCCCGTTTCGACCTGATTCTACACCCTGATTCGAGCACCTGATTCTGACACATGCACCCCTTTTGCATCATCAAACATGGCCACGTGTCGCTCACCCGCTACCTCTGTGCTCCTGATGTTCACCGACAGTCTCTGCGATTGCGCTTGGCCATGCAATGCGCACCTGGTCGAGGACCTTTTGCACCTGCGATGTCTGAAGACTGTGACCGGAGCGATAAGCGTGAAGCCAAGTAATGGGGGCGGCGATTGTCAAACACGTGCAAGCTGCTATCTCCTTCCACCCAAGTCGTAAAGCAGCATCTCAAAGGGGCGGGCTTTATATTAATTGGTGCCAAAAGTTGACAATTCAAGATGACACTATCTGGGGAGCAAGCACAGTGAGACGAGATGCAAAAGTCAAACGCAATGACTTACGCGATTGGATCCCCTGTCCTGCCTCCTGCTCTGTGGCAGAGCGAGCTCTTTGTAAGGTCCAGCGGAGCTGCACCAACTGCCAGAACTGTCAGTTGCATTGCACTGTTCGCAGTGCGCTAAAACGAGAAACCCGGAAATTGTTCATGAGCCGAGGCCACGCCAAAACAATTGATGCCTCTTCTGTCATGTCATGTCCATCAAGCCCGTCCTGCCGCTCAGCCTCGAGCAGCAGGTCGGCCTATCACAAAGGTGATTCAGAACACCATCAAAGCATCTATACTGTAATATCAGAACCAAACGCCAAAAGCATTTGGAGTGGCAGTAATGAGATACAATCGTGGTCTGGAGCTTGCTCTTCTTGGCGTCCTCTATATGTGAGGAGGTGACTGATTGACTGATCTGCGGAGTGTGATTGCACTGCTGAAGCTGAGATAGGCTTGTCAGGGCTAGCGTCTTGCCATGATGCGTTGCAGTTCCTTGGTCACAAGGCTTGCTGGCCTTTTTGAATCTGTATGCTTGGGATTCAATACATGTTGGCGTCTACACGCCTGCTTCCACTTCTACATGACCCCCCTGTCAGTTGACCAATGCCTACAGAGAATGGACGGAGCGGTGGCTTTTTGACGTCTGCCTCTTGCTTGACAGCATGGGCTCGTCAGAGCCCGCCTCTACTTCGACGCCTGTTTCCACACCCGCTTCATTCCTCTGGCGCTATGGGGACTGGACTGCCCAAGGCCCTCCTGGAAGCAAAGCTTGAACACAAGACAGCTGCGGCAACTTTTTGCATCAACCGCAACGCCGCTCATGTTAGTCCAGTGGAGGGCTAGGTGACGCCAGGGAGGGCACATCGCTCGTTGCAGTGTTGGCGATGAAATCCTCCGAGCCCCCTATGCGCCAGGAGCAGGCGAAGATTTTTTTACCTGGGCCAATGGACTTCGAGTGAACGCGTGGAGAAAACTGTTCTGGGTTCCTGCGGCCAGCACTTCGCCCGTAGACGATTTTCAGGGTGACTGGCGTTCAACAACCCTGCTGCCACCACGTCCTTCTTCCCGAGCTTCTGTGGACTCTGACGTGACCATTCTTTCTGATGATGCTCTTGAGTGGCTGCAGGACTTCGCCAGGGGCAGCTTTCAGATGGATGATACTGCTCAGCCCAAAGCGCGCTAGCACGCCCGTCCCCACCTTAGTCTTTGGCTGCAACATACGCTGAGGGCCCTCCACGCTGTTCTAATCCGATGAACCCGCTTTGACTGGCCAGTGGCGCTTTGGCGTTCAAACCAGTCTACCGCTCAGGTCCCAGAGAGAGGCTCGTCTTCCTGCGCAAAACGTTTGGCAGCGTCCTACAGGAGCGAGCGCGCCGAGCTCCAGAGTTACCCTGGGGGCACAGGCCCGTCGTGACCTGCGCCAATAAAGCTGTTGCTGTTCCTGCAGAAATGATGCAAAGTCCGTTCGGTCCCCTCCTTGAATCGCTGCTGCTTCTCTGTTCCCTCTTTGAAGTCAGTAGAGGGAAGCCATATTTGCCTCGAACACACTCAATGCTGAATCTACACGCTCGCCACTCCAGTCTACGTGTGAGTTTGTGTGCGTGTATGTGTCTGTGTGGGTGCATTGCGTGCGTGCGTGCGTGCGGGCGAGTGGGCGGGCGGGCGGCCGGGGGCGGCGCGCGGGGCGGGAGCGGGGGCGGGTGCGGGGGCGGGTTCGCGGGCGGGGGCAGGGGCGGGGGCGGCGTGCGGGCGAGCAGGCGGGCGGGGTCAGAAGGTGTGATTGTCAGAGGTGACACAAAGTCAGACCAGCTCAGCTCTCTGACGCTTCAAGGTGTTTCCTTCGTCCAGCCTCCTCCTCAACAGTAAGCTCCTGAAAACATGTTGGTCGCTTCTTGTCTTGCAGCATCTGAAACATGCAGCAAATCTGATGTGTTGGCACAGCATGTTTGCACCTCACATTTCTGGCATCGAGTCAGTGACATGAAGGACCACAGTCCTCAGTGATGGCGTGGGTCTCGAGGCAACTGCAGTTGAACATGCCTCTGCCTGGCACCAGTCTGCTTGCATGGGGGGGCCGGATGGAACTTGGGAGCTGAAGTCAAGAAAGAGTTGGCTGGGACAAAAGGCGATAGCGGGTCGTTCTGATGCCTACTTGGGCCAGAGGGAGCAAGCAATCTTCATTAAGTCCTTGCAAAAGTGACCAGACCAGCACTGAGCTGCATTGCCTGCATTGCTTGTCCTGCCTGTACATCCACCAAACAACACAACAAACCTGCTGCCACTCAGCATGATAGTCAACGCTGATTTAGTCAGCATGTAAACAATGCAGTAAACCTTAATAGCAAAATGACACATGACTAGTTAGACTGTGCAAGCTTGTCACGTGACACAATAATCTCAGTATTATATCATATATATATATATGTGTATGTATATATATATATATATATATATATTATTTTATATATAATATAATAGATACATATATATATATACAACATACCTACAATGCGCCACATTGGCAACCAGCATTTACACATGCGGGCCACGCAGCTACCTTGTCAGGAAGCTGATTGACACTGCAGAACCCGCAAACAGTGCAAGCCAGAAGCGAATCACGCTCTGTTCTGAGACGTTCTGTATTCAGCCCTTGTCTTCTCAGGCCACAAACAAACATCAATATTCTTAGATGTTGGCGTGGGCAGAGTTGACTCGTGGCAACCTCCTGCCCCCCCCTCGGATCAGCCTGAAAGGCCGGTGTCCAAGGACGCAAAAAGCGCACGCTGAGCCAATACGGTGAGCGAAGTTCCGAAACCCGAGCCAACCACAAGCCAAGCCGTGAGGACACGTCGCAAATCAAGGATGCAAGCAAGAAAGAGGCAAAGCAAAGCAAACAATTTAAATTATTTTAAAAAAAAAGAGAGAAACAGAGAACGAGAGAGAAGGAGACAAAGAACCATAAGAATCTTCCAGGAACGCCCCACACAAACTTCCGCGCTCTCAGATCTCCCAGCAATGTGAGTGTGTATGATGTGTAGTGGCAGAGCCAGTTGCACCCTGAGGCAAATATGATGATTCCCGGTGCGCAAGCCCGCCTCTCTTCAGGCGGTGCATATCCATCTGGCTGCGTACAGGTTCAGGATACCACCCGGCTTCAAACAGCCACGAATATTAAGTCGCACAGGCTATCAATTTCCTATCGATTTCAAAAGATCGTGCATGAAGCAGGGCCAACTCAAAGCACAACTGCATGATGTCAGCATTCCGAGGGGAGCCGCTTCTCGCCTTGCAGATCTCTTCGCACCACGTTCGGAAGCCTGGGCTGTGTGTTTGTCCCAGCGAGCTGCAACAGCATCAACCATTGCAAGCATCTAAGGGGTCCGCTTCTGCCTATGACGTTGCAAGGACGCCTCGGGCGCCTTCGGCAGGCACGGACACGAACCGGCAAGCAATACGCGCGAGTCAGCTGTGCTTGCATGGCAACAGCCAGGACTGTTCAGGATCCCCCTCGTTTGAGAAGCTGCCCTGATGCATTTTGCAACCGAATCAGTACAGTGTGGCCTTGTCGCTCTGGAATGAGGTCCCGGTCTGGCAACTGTCCTGTTGGCATGCTTGAGAGTTTTTCTGTGCATGCCTGTGCAGTCTTCAGACTTTTGGGCTGGCGAAAAAAAGAATCAAGAATCATGACTCCACCTGTCTCCTGTGGCATCACCACACAATGCAAAAAACGCATTGAACAGCCCCACGGATGGATTTGTTGTCTGCGCCTTTCACAGCCCATATGACCAGTCAGACGTCCTCAAACTCGAGCCGCATGGCGCTGATCCGTGGCAGATCGCAAGCTAAGGTTGTCTTCGGCTTATAGCTGACATGTTCGCAAAGGAAATGCTGACATGGCTGGCTGACGTGGCTGACGTGGCCTGAAACATGCGTCATGCGCGGTCCCGACACCTGGAGCCCGAAGGCTTGAAGCCAAGGTCAGTGGAATGAGGTTCAAAGGATCAACCATGTGGGGTAAGAATAAGTTCGTCCGGCCCTTTGTGCAGTAGTGTTACACACAAGTCAAGAATTGTCCAGCGAATAGTCACATCTGCAGTCATTCTACTGGTCATCTTAACATTGTGATTCTTGGCCACATGTCCCACATCATCCAGGCGTTTCAGATATGAGCCACGGTCGGAATTAATAATTAGCAGGTCCCGTGGTGAGTAAGTTCCCCCATGTCCCTCCCAAATGGACAGTAGACTGCGTGCAGCCGCTGTTTCACCTCCAGGCACCTGGCTGTGGGCCCAAGCTCAGGCGAGCACCCCTGGCGCAAGTCGAGCTTAGAACCCTTTTGCAGTGAGAACCTTTGAGATGAGCCCAAGGAATCCCTCTACCAGCGGATTTGCTTCACAACACTAACAAACGTGTCACAACCCTTTGTTAAAAACTATCCTTATCAGTGGCACAACGGGTTGCGGTCCGCGATGCACATCGTCAAGATTCCACGTAACGCATCATGATGCTACGTCTTGATTCTGCATGATGCTTTCGATCATTGCAAACAAGTATGTCATGATAAAGTCACGTGGAATGTTGCCAGCTGGTTTGGGCCATGCTAGTCAAGAAAGTGCGGCTGGCCCCAGAAGTTCACATCTTTGCCGAACCTCTGCAGATGAGTTTTGGCTTCGTAATAATGTAGCAGTTCAGTGCGAGGCCATGACGTATGTGTTGGATGCAAGTTAGCTCGACAATACGGCTTTCAAGGTATTCTTGGAGATTAGCATCCCAGAGTCGCAACCGAGCAAGCAGATCTGGCTCAGAAGAAACGTTAAGATGCCCTGCCTGTAGCAGACGTCATGGATCGACCATCCCAAGTCCACGATCTGATTCACGCTGCATCGGAATGGATCGTCGAAGGCCAAGCTGCCAAGCGAATTCACAATCTGCACCTGAAGCCGCAATAAATTTCCGGAATTTGTGAGGTGTAGAAAGGGTAGGAGCATCAGCATTAGGGCCGGCCTTGCGGATTCCCTCCCCGTCGGTGCCATCCTGGTCAAGACAGTCAGCAAAGTCCGCTGAACTGTGTGATGTCAATCTCGTGAAACAATCCCTTCCACAATCCGAATAGCACAAGCACCACTAAACAAAAATTGTCCAGGAGAATGCTGCCATGGAAGAGCTGCCTGCCGCAGGGTTAGTTGCGTGGTAAACAAATACCAAAACTTCGACTGTGTGAACGAACGAGCTTGATGTGTTTGGGACTGATGACACACGCACAATGCCCTCGGCATCCTTGACATACTAGTGTATGCATAATATAAGTATCTGGCTTGAAGGTGGGCTACGCCATTTCAAAATGGATGACATGTAAAATTTGTGTAGAACTTCTGGGCAACATGTTTCAAATCTGTCATTCATGCCGAGCAAAGAGGATGCATGCCCTGCTCTGACTGCCTCTACGGTGCGTATCACTTGAACTCGACCTTCGAAGATCTCATCCACTGCCTGAGGCCAGCACTCTGTCGAAGCACAACAATCCCCGGAATTTGAAGCGACGCCACGCAGAAAGAAGACACATGAGAAAGCATGATAAGAGAAGCTTGGCTGAATATATGCCCTACCCATAGAGCAGGCACCTTGTTCAGGTAGCCAAGCGGGATGTCGCCGGCCCACACCTGCACAAGAAAGGTTAAGGCCGTAGGTAACAACTTGTGCTACCATTGATGCATCGAACACCCAAATTGATGCACAGTCAGCCAGCCAAGTCGCGTTGTGTTTTGGGTAGGCTTCAAGAAATATAAACACCATGCCTGGAGAAAGCTGAGGTCCAGCCAGGCCTTGATCAATCAGGAGCTCTCCACAAGCCAACCTTCCCGGCTCATCAGCTCACTCAAAGAGCTTAGAATTCAAAGACAAAATGCAAAGAGGCCGACGAACCAAATGGCTGACCTGCCAACCTGTCTGCCCAAGCACCGGGACCTAGCGGGACCTAGCTGAGGGCCCATGCTGGGACGACACCGTCCTCCAGCAGCTGCACCCGCACGGCCCGGCCGCTGGGGAGCTGCTCGCCTCTGTCCGGCTATGGAACATCGACGCTCGCAGTGGCTACATCGAATGCTCGGTTCAGGAAACATGAAGCGCTATGCTGATAACGGCAAAACGACGGTTCAGGTGGTATAAATCGGTATGAAGGTGAAGACAACATCATGACGCTGCCGTGGTGCTTCAGGAAATCTCAGATACGCAACTGAGCCGCCCTATGTTGGCAGTACCCAACATTGTCCACAAAAAGGACTCTAGCACGTCTCCTCTGAATGGCCCTGAAAAGAGCTCCGCGAGGATTCTCAAGAGACAAACGTCTTTCACTGCGGCCCCATTCTGCGCATTCTGCGTACATCTTTTTGTGCAACTTAGGCTGGCTCTCGGCAACATCTTGGAAACGCAGCTCAAGCCACATTCTGTCTTGGCATCCCCTTGAAAGCAAAGGTGGTTTTCCAACCAGCCTTGGGCCAAAAGGATTGGCTGGAACCAACTGAACTTTGCTAGAAATAGCAGCCCAAACGCGCATCTCGCAAGAACCCAAATGGATATGCGACCGCTCCAGGGCCTTCAAGCACTCGGAACCAAACGAAGCCCTTCTCCAGGGGAATTTCCTTAACGTTGGGTCTGGTGCACTATCGGTGTGCTGCAAAAATGCACAAAGCATGTTGAATGGAAAGCACTCAGGGACGAAACATCATGCCCTGCAATAGCACATGGACCTCAAATCAAAACGCCTGGAGTGCAACTCCACCTCAAGCCAAGTTGCCGGATCAAACGCCAAGCTTTCCTCTGCACAAAGCCAAAGGCGTTTTCAAATTCCGCTGAAGAAGCGCAAAACCATGAACAAATGTATGTAAAAGTCATGGACAAGGAGGGACCAAGCTCACCCACATGCAGTTGGTGTTTGCAGGCAGCAGGTTGTAACATGCCGAATGTTGACACTGACGGCAAGTCTGTTGCAACGGATAGGAGGTGTACTGCCAGCAAGGGGTGGTCTTCAGAGTTGAGAAGGCGACCCAACGGCACTTGCCTGCTGACCAGGGTGCATCCCGTTTTGGCCCCAGCCAATCCAGTTCATACAGCTGACACCAGTACTTGCAGCCCGTCCGCCCGCACTCCTGTCCAGCAAAACCACATTTGCCAACACTCTGAAGCTTGGCGAAAAGCTTATTGAGATCTGATTGCAGTCAGCGCCTCTTCACCGGAAAGGCCCAGAAGCTGCCACAGCGCCTGCGTTATTGCGGTTTGCCAGGCACAGGCAAAACAAACGATATCGCGAAGCCCAAACTGTATGTTGGTGCCACAGACTGCAGTTCTTCCCATTGGCAGAGGCAGCCAGCTTGCAGGGCCGGATACAAAATGCCACGCCTTCGGCAGCTTCTGTGTGTGTGTGTGTGTGTCACAACAGGGTGGCCCAAACATAGACGTCGGTTCTTCTTCCCCAAAACCAACCCCAAAAAGGGAATGACTCAAAAACACAACTTACCCGGCCTCTTCCCGGAAGTCGCCGCTGCCCAACTGCAGTTCGATCCGGCCGCCATCCCCCAGGCCCTCGAAGGTGCCCAGGCGCCGCACCCGGTAGGGCCAGCCTGCCGTCGTCCAAAAGGTCCGGGTCCGCGCAAACCAAATCGTGGCCCTCTCTCCCAGGAAACACCCCCTATTTTTGCAGCACAAAGAAAGCACCTGGACCGACCTGCTGATTTTTCCTGTCGAATCTTTGTGATTCTGAATTCTCGTTAGTGACTTCTCAAAGTTTTGCCAGGTCTCGACCGGTTGGGCTGGAATTGCTGTCAATGCGGTAAGATTGTTCGCTGATGGCCTTGCCCGATTGGCTGGCATACAGAAAAGTGCTGTCCATCAAGTTGCGTCCCATCCAATGGCCAGCTTTGGAATTTCAATCACGCGCCGTAACTGTGCTGATGCCTGATCTTTGCCAAAATTGGCTATAATCCACACAAATTGGAAGTCACTCGCACCTCCGATAAAGGACCTTCGTGGGCTAGCTCGTCTTGCCGCCGAATCCGAATCGGGGAGAAGCTGCTATACCTGTTGCAGGCCTCGCCTCCCAACTTCAGAAGCACAAAGCTGTGCCCCTCCCGCGCGTGCCGCTGCACAGCGGGCTCAGCACTCAGCGTGATGTGGACATCCAAGTCACTCACGGGCAAAACCTCGGAATGGAAAGTGCACTCAGGGAATTGACAAAACCTTAGGAGCGGAAACGCAGGAGAATCACCAGCTCCTCCACTAAAAACCATGGGAACCAAGTATGCTTGAAGATTGGATACAAGGCAAATACAACTTTCTCCAGAGTTAGCTGTTGAATTTCTTATAGTTGTGAGGCTTATTGCTCTAAAGAGCTATCTGCTGACTTGCAGCGTGAGTGACTGGCCAGACACGCCACCCGTCACTCAGCTCTGCTGTTAGAATGCCGAGGCTTCGGCGGAATCTGAGAATTCCTCGGCATTGAGGCCGAGAGTGATGACCCCATTCCTCGCATGCGTAAAGCGGCTCCATCGCAGCCGCAAAGTTGGTAAGGTCACCAGGTTGGCTGTTTGGCCGTTTGCTCATGCTGGCTAGTGCCACATTGCACGTTGCTGTCACCTGCGACCTTGTCCAGGCAAGATTCTCGTAGGAGCGTCTGGATTGGCACTCGTAGGGCGTGTGGTGACCACGCTTTGGAATAAAATCCTGACAGTGCAGACCGTGTCCGATGAGCTTGAAGCAAAGTGCCCACTGGCCAGCCACCTCTAATACGGTCAAATTTGGCGCTGATTCCACCTCGAATTCATTGATGCAGGGGTGCGCCCACTGCTCAATGCAACATCAGAAACATCTAGAGAGCTCGTCATTGCTGCTGGAAAGCACTAAGCTTCATTGCCCATACAAACTTGAGAACGAGGGACCGGAATGAGCAAGTCTGCTCCCTAAGAGTAGGTCTGCCCCTTTGGAATTGGCCTCAACAGCATTAGCTCTTAAACTGGCAATGTGCCCTTAAAGTGGGATCTACATTCCCACCACTCTCCTGCAAAGGGAAACGCCAATGGTTCTCTCGGACACCATCATACTGCAACACCTCCGCGTGAATGGTCAGCGGCTCCTGGATAAGGCAAGGTGCGCCATCCACCCTGTCAACCGGAGCGTTGGAAGGCTCTTCGGCTCTCGCTACAGGTCGCTCCTGCGGCAATGAGCTGTGGTTGCAAAGATCTTCCCGGGCTGCTGCAAATGTCACGTACCTCGGGCGGGCAAAGACACGAACGAATCGCCGCTTGCAAAGCCTGGCCGATGGAGGGCAAGCTGCTGCTCAGACAGGTGCCCGTCAGAATTTACTTGCCGGAGGCCTGCCAGCAGCTCCTGGGAGTGAAGGCGTGAAGTCATGCACAGAGGAAGAAATTGTTCGTTCGAGTCGGTAGATCTGGCACATGCGACTCCCAAGTCATCAGATCTATCTCAAGTGCTGCTGAGCTTCTGTGTCGCACTCCTCCAGGCACCGCAGCTCCGGAAAGTTGGGCCAAAAAAGGGAGTTGTACCACAGCGCACCCGCAAAGCGGCCTGACAGAATATATGCACTTCCAACAGTCAGCAAGAGACCTCAATGCTGGCAAGCAACAACATACCTGCTTCTGCCAACTTCAAGAGGTCAATGCTCCTTCCTTCAGCTTCCCCAAGTGCCTGTGGGTGGAAGGAGGGCTGGGTGGCGCTTGCCATGCAAGTGCTCGCTAGAGAAAAGGAAGGGCCCGCTCTCCTCGGACGAAGCTGGATGCACAAAGCAAAGTGAATCCAAGGCCAAGCTCAAGCTCAAGCCAAGTAAGTGTCTCAAAGACAAGGGAATCAAGAATCAGCAAATGCGAATCATCTGTGATGATTCTGTGGCAATGGGACAACAAATCCAGACCCCAGCTGAACCCTGTCCTGCCCACGGATTGGCCCACTGTATGACCCAATTTGATCCGCATTGTCTACAACGGCATCGATGTAACTTTCCTCGAGCGATGCGCGGACATCCAAAGCAAAGGAATTTGATTTGACCGCGTAACAACATGCTAATTCCCAACCACTTGTCATGCAGTATTTAGCCCAAGTTTCCTCTGAAGGAAGCATCTGGATGCTTGAACATGGCAAGCCGACTAATCTTGGGCCAAGCTGGGCATTTCATCATGAGGCAACCAGATGCGGAATCTGGTCAGCTGTCAGAGGCTCAATTGCGATATGCACTTGCAACAGCGCAACAGCCAAAGTGTGCCACCAAAGCGAGGATGGCTTGTTGCATGCTGCCTTGCCTAATGCTTCATGGCTCTCGATGATACCTCGACTCGCATGGCATATTGACACCTTGGGATGCAACGCACCCGCGCCAGCACTTTCCTCAGCCTGCCCAGCGCCGCATCTCCTCGTCACGGCCACCGCGGCGGCCGAAGTAGCGCAGCTCTTCACCATCGGGGCCTTGGGTCCACAGGTTTCTTAGAGCGCAGCTGATCGGACAGACCCGCATCTCTCCGTCATCCCAAGCTGCACCAAAGACCAGGCTACCAAGCAAAGTCAGCATGTAAGGCACGCTGCAAGAGATACAGTATATCAGAGCTTGTCATACCATGGAATGGATTGCAAGGACCCCCACCTAGCAGCATGTGCGCGGAGAAGAGAGAGAGACCCTTCCAGTGCGCCATCGCCTGGTACCCAAGCATCCACCACAACTCTTAGTCTCCTGACAGAATCTCACCTAAACTTTGAGTGGGCTAACTGGTCAACTAGCAAAGCCTGCACCACGGTGTCACATTGTGGCCGAGTAACGAGAACCAAGGCTCAGACATGCATGTATCCGGCCTGCTCCTTTGTCGAGAAGACCACGCCATCCACATTTCCAAAGTCATGATGGGTGACCACTGAATATCCTGCAAACACAACCGTTGCGACGTTGCGCAAGAAATTGACCGCTCCAGCTTCACTCTGCAAATGCTGATTGTGGTCTGCACTTTGCCTAAAACTCGAAGTGATGCTAAGAGGTGCAAATGAGTTGCAAGAAAAGCATGAGACAAACCACTTGAGCAGTTTGTGCGATTGATTACCGTTCAATATCTGTGGTGGACAACAACTTGACCCTTTTGGCGTTCAAATCCTGTCCGCGCAAGCCTCCCTCCTTGGACGCCTCCCCCCATAGTTGCCTGTTCATAGTCTCAAAGGCCTGTTCTCCCATTCGGATGTTCGGTAAATATTCATTGAAAACATGTCTTTGAAGTCGGTCGCCGCGACAGTCACCACACTTTCCCTTCGACCAAAAACTTGTCCCACGACGCACAGGAAATCTATGAGGACGGCACGCGGAAAGCAAGATTAACCAAAAGGACATTATGGGGAACTTTATCGAAAACCCATGTGGAACGTTTTGGGAACCAATGAGAACTGTGCGGAACCTTTACTACTTGAAGAACCACATGGGCAAGCAACCCATTTGGAGGACCCCTGAAGGTGGGAACCCGTGTGGGGAACTTGTGATCAACAAAAACAATGCCAATGGAGAACCCGCCCACCAGAGAATCCGCGCTCATCCCGCACGAACCTGTAGATATGCCTATATGTATACCTGTATACCTGTGTATGTATTGTTTGATTGATTCTTTTAGGTAGTAGCTGGTTGAACTAGTTGCTTGTTTGTGCGGAGAGTTCAAAGAATGTGCGGAATTCATGGGGATCAGAATTTGAATGTCATAGGGTGAAATAAGGGGAACAGCTGTGAGGCACAACACAGAAAATAGTCGGTGAGCATGGAAGACCTATGAGAGTCCAAGTGTAACCCATGCAGGACTGATGAGGCACGGGCGGGGAACGAAAACCGATGGAAAACAAGCTTACTTGCAGGAACAGTGCAGGATAGGTGTACGACAGGCCCTGGAAAAAAGTGGCGCATAGTAAATTGATACCTTCGGATGCCACCTGTCTTCCCTTTCCAACCCATACCGAGCCTTGTGCTGCAGCGCCTGCCCTCGGCGGCGCACGGCCCTCTGCGAGCTGAGAAAGCGTGGTCACTTCGAGGCCTCTCTGCTCAAGGCCTCGCGGGCAAGCGGAAGTGTGGTCCGTGAGGAACCCCTCAGGCACCAAAACCAGCATGCATTCCCATGCCACAAAGACTCCAAACTAGCAGGCTGATCAAGCGCAATTTCCCAAAGCGCGGCTTTCAGGTGCTTTCGAGTCAGGCCGAGTTCGCAGCGTGTGCCCCACTCTTTCCACTCCTTCCCCCTGCCTTGCAGCAGCAGCTCCATGGCCTTGGGCCCAAACTTGAGTGTCGCCCATCTGTGAGAGTCGGTTGGTGCAACCCGTCAACATCTCAAGCAATCCAGGCGGCTCGGAAAATGTGCTCTCGGAATCCTTGGACCAGCCAGGCGACGGTTGTAACATCCGAAGCAGGCGCTTTGACTCGTCATATCCTCCCAAGAAATTCACTGAGCCAATGCTCCATGCCAAACCACTGTGGGTCTGATGCTGCTGTCACGTTGCCACGCTCTGGCATGTGAAGGATGATCACTGAGCCGCCTCGCACTTGCGAGAGAAGTGTTGATGCCACCCAGTCTGAGTCCTGGTTGGAAGTGGCCCGAAGCTTGCAAAGCTTGTTGCACCCAACAAACATCCAAAGCGTGCCATCCGCACAATGTTTCACTTCATAGCAGCATCGTCCAAAACTCGCCGGAGCCTCAAAGTAAAAGTATGGCCTTCTCAGCCCCTTCCTATTGTGGGCCAGCATAGCTACCCTGGATCCTTGACCTGGGAACCCCACAGCTGGATTTATCCTTCCTCGATGGCCCAGTCATCGCAGTAGCAGTCGCCCAAAGCGTGCTGCATACCATGCTTTGACACGTAGCCATGCATCTTCCCAGAGTACCTCCAGCCCCAAATTTCCCAACGCAAGCCTGAATACAACCAAAAAGCCCAGCTTGCAAGGAAGCTT